TTTTATAGCATTAAAATTTGTGTTTTTCAAATTATTTTATCGTAGTAGTTACTTTTTAAAATAAAAAAAATGTTGAACCATTCTTACTACAACAATTAGAATAGAAAATTTTAAAATTTAAAATAACTTTTAGTACGTATCTATCTGAACTCTTAATTACCTATTCCATTTGTAAAGTCATACTTTTACTACTCATGCATATTATCACAATTATATTATTTTGCACTACACTTGAGTCTTCCCTTACATAAACACCGTAGCACAGTAGTTTAGGCTGCAGTTTTTGTAGCTCAGGGTATTTTTAGTCCATACTCATACTATTTTTTACCGTGGTCTAATAGTTCAAAGGCTATATTAAATAAAATGTCCTTATTGTCGTAAACGTACTAAATAAATCTAAGGTAACCTTTTAATATGCCCATGACGATAGAATAAGAATGCATAGTAATCGTATTAACAGTATCATAGCAGTGCAGAACCGTTATACAACCTTTTTGCAAAAAAATAATGTAAAATATGTATACATAAAACGTCATTTCTTATTCGTAACCAGCTCTAGGTTAAGAAATCACTCCAGCTGAAAGGTGTTACGTATGACGCAAAAAAAAGAGCACTTGTTAAAAAGAATTAAGTAGTATTAAGCTGAATTTTGTGGGCAGTTACAAAAATAAATTTAACAATACCCTCAGTAAAGTTTTTTTGGTAAAGCCTAAGATTTTGATGTAGTTGCAATTCCTAGGACAAACATCAGACGACTACTGCTTTTTTATGATGCATATTATGCTCTGCTCAAAATTTCTAACGTACACAATCCTTAGACACCAAAATGTAAATACAATTTACTCACTTAATTAGTTAGGATTACCGTTGTCACTTAAAAATATCTACCGTTTTCTTAATAACCCAAGATAATATAACTAAAATCGTCTTTCATAACTGGAAAAAGTAGGCGTTGATTAACCAAATAATTTGTTAATTACTAAGGTTATCTTTGATCTACCCCTTCGTATTTTATCATCACCCTTACTCCATAAGTTTAAATATTAATGGTGCATCTATTTCGAGACTTTTTTCATGAGCGGTGTTAGTCAATGGTTAAACTTCAAAATAACACATAGTACTTATTTACCAAGAATGGTTTATATTATTTATTTGCTATAAATATAATTAATAAACATCCATGTTTTGCAGGGATATTTTTAACGAGCTGTGTCGTCTGCGGGTTAAAAATGTAACTGATTTTGAATGGTTAAAACAGGCTCGATTTTACTTTGATGAAGAAATGGAAAATATACCCATAAGGATTACAGACGTTCTTTTTATATACCAGAACGAGTTTTTAGGATGTAATGATCGACTTGTTGTAACTCCTTTGACAGACAGATGTTACATCACATTAGCTCAAGCCATTGGTAAGAATATAGTGGTGATTATCTTGTTAAATATGACAACAGTAAGTTTAAAATGTTGTGACAGGAATGAACTTTGGAGGTGCACCAGCTGGCCCAGCAGGTACAGGAAAAACAGAAACTACTAAAGATATGGGAAAAGCTTTAGGAAAATATGTTGTCGTATTTAACTGCTCTGATCAAATGGATTTTCGAGGTCTTGGAAGAATTTTTAAGGTATTAAAAAAAAAATAAACCATACAAAATGATGGACCATTTGGTGACAAAAATTTAAAGTCCTTAACTCTTGAGTAGGGCTTGGCACAGTCTGGAACATGGGGTTGTTTCGATGAATTTAATCGAATTGAATTGCCTGTATTGTCAGTAGCAGCACAGCAAATAGCGATCGTCTTAAATGCCCGAAAAGAAAGGAAGGTTTCTTTTTTATTTAGGTACGTGTGCAGTTAATTATACATGAATTTGTTTTAAATATAAGTAGTACGATGATACACGAAAAGTACTCATTTTAGTGATGGTGAAAGATACTTAATCGACTATGAGTTTGGAATTTTCATAACCATGAATCCAGGATACGCAGGCAGACAGGAGTTACCAGAGAATTTGAAAATAATGTTTCGTAGTGTGGCTATGATGGTACCTGATAGACAGGTCTGAATGATTTAAATTTTATTGTATTAATCAAATGTTTCCACCATGCTCTTCGTAATATCACTTTTGGATCTGCAAACTAGTGAGATTCAAAAATAAGTATTATTTCTGTAACTTAGTAGTCACTTAGAAAAAAGTCTCATTAGTTTCCATCTACATTAAAAACATTTTTTTTAATCTAGAAGAGTCTGAGATCCTTCAAAATATCAAGAAGATTTTATAAACTCATAACAAGTTTGGAAATATTTCTTCGAAACAACTATATAATCGATTATTCTTATTAGATAAGTAATAGAGATTACAATTCATTAAAAATTTGAACGCTATACGTTATGTTACTTGTGTTATTATTAGTTTTTTCACAATTATTTAAAGGTGTACGTAAACTAAAACTTTTACATATCTTATTCTCTGACTCAAAAATCTTTTTAAACTATAAGAGCATATCATACTTGCAGAATTTTTTTTATTATTTAAAAAATCTCCTGAAAAGTAAGATTTGTATTTATTCTGAATTATATTTCCTAAAATATTTTATAAATAGAAGAAAAACGCAAAAAATTTCGTGAACACAATAGTCTCTTA